TCACCTCTGCAAGTACTGGGACTGAGAAGTGGAGAGCAGCTGTGGCCCATAGGAAGAAGGCAACTGGAAAGCAGTTTTGTGGGGTCTCCTGATGCACACCAGACCTTTCTCACACAGGTTCTTGGGAGATTGTCCCATTTCTCTGACAGGAATAATTGGTCCCTCTCTGGTAGATGAGAATATGGTCAAGGGTGGTAACGCAATGTGTCCAAAGTCCCAGGCTAAGAAGTGGCAGACCTGGAAATGAGCCAGATTTGACTTTGAAGTCAGTGCTCACCCTGAACAGGGAGGAGCTCCCAGGAGAGTCAGGATCAGGAGGAGAAGCTCTTCCTCACTAGCTCAGGGCCTGAAAGGTGATGGAGGTGGCCTCGTCACATGCCTGTGCTTCACTGAAGAGGTGATGTTCAGTAGGTCTTTCTCACACTGAGCTCAGCGTCCAAAGTCTGCCACTTCGGGCAGGGAGGACGGAAAGATGTGAATGGTACAGTGAAAAGAGGGATATGTGGGAAGTAAATGGTACCAAACTGGTCTTCCAGTGACGCTTTGGGAAAGAACTAGGTTTTCTGGTGCTCCAGGGGACCGGGAACCGCCCTTTACTGGGAGCAGCAGACTTAAACGCCCAGCTGGAGTAGAGCTCATTCACTTTAGTCTTTCTCCTCTCCCTTCCCTCAGCCTTTACTCTGCCATCTCTTTTGATCCTTTTCTCCCCTCCCTCCTCCTCTAGTAAGCCTCCTTGAAAATCCCAGCCTACAGATATCCTTTCTCCTGGGAACACAAGCATGCCTCGCTTGCGTCATTGTGTCCAGCTGTGTCCTGGAATTCCAGATCCTCTGTACTGTAGGCCTCGTCAGCTATGGCATTACCATTCCATTGCAAGAGTCCCTTCTAGGATACCTGAACTTATGCAGGCAGTTCAGAGACCTGGAGCTAGCTCTGAAATGCACTGTCTTATTGCTAGATGGTTGTTATTTGAGAATGTTTTCTCTCAACTATGTCAGAATTTGCCTCCCTTGAAGGCACTTGCTAGCACTGCTCTAGAATCTACTCCTAGGGCTGTGGAAGACCAGGCTGTCTGCTGTGACTGGGCTTTGAATACCTGCAGAGGATCCCCTTGTTCTTGAAGAGTGCTATTCTGTCTACCATACTGGAAACCACAGACAATCCATGGGGGGTTAGAGTCCTGACTCCAACTACCATGGGCACAGAACTCTGGGTCAATTCTTTCTAGAAGCCCTAGCTCCTAAGCTATGGGCATGTGCTTATCTGTACAGTAGCACTGTGCCTCTTTTGTCTCCTGTGTTCATCCAATGAACTGTTTGTTCACCAGAAGTAGTATGGCTTAGAGGGGAGAGCACAGCCTTGACATCAAAACAGAGCAGCCTGTGTGTGTGTGTGTGTGTGTGTGTGTGTGTGTGTTCTGCTATAAGGCAGCCATGTAACCTTGAATAAATTGCTTCTGTTCTCTGAGCCTTAGTGTTTTCCTCTATAAAGTGTGGATAACCTAAAGTAAGGGACCTGAATTGATGGTTTTCGTTGTTGTTTTGTTTTTTTGTGGTACTGGAGATCAGGACCAGACATGGCCTAGTGAACACAAAAGCATGCAGTCTACCCCTGATCTGTACCCCTGCCTCTTGGATTGCTTGGCTGCCTCTCTTTCTTCTGGCCAGTCCATAGTTTGCTTTTCTTCTGGGTATGCCCAATCTCCTAGGCCAACAGTAACACAGCTACTTCACTGAGCGGCAGGCATGTTGCTGGGCATAACTTTTATGCATTTTCTAAAACATGCATTCTGGTGGCCAGCACTCAATGCTTAGAAGTCACAAAGTCCAATGACTACTGTTGCTAGCGTTCCTGTGTGCCAGACACTGTATGCCATCCATCCATCTTCAGCCAGGCTAGAACACTCCATGAGGGGAGGGGGCACATCTTGGTACTTGAGATATTCAACACACTCAGGTTGAATGAATGGACTAAAATGAATAGATGCATCTTTGCCTCCCCTGACAGATCCAAAATAGAACCTTATCACATTAGGTTGCTTGATGAATATTTGATTAACTAGAGCCACAAGAATGTAAATAGTCACTGGTGGCTTCGTCTGAATCCTGGAAGTCCCCAAAGCCACATTGGTGGGGTTCCTCCTGCTAATGAGCAGTTCCTCAGAGGACCTTCTTAAGAACAAACACTCCAAGTTTTCTCTGCAACCAGAGTGCACCCTCCCCGAGTGGCCACATGGCAGGGGTGAATGCAGACTGCCTGCTTACTGACCAGACTACATTCCACCCAAGCAGAGGGCGGCAGTACCTCAGCTGTGAGGCCACCAGGCTTCCAAAGACTGGAACTGCTCCATAAGGAACCTTTCTTCACACTGTCTCTCAAGGTGGTTTCTGTGTCACGCTTCACAGGCTACTCAATAAGATTCCTCTCCTTAGACTGCCACTCAAGCTTCCAGAGCCCCCTGGTAGGCCTGGAAGTAGTTAGAGAGGTATTGGAGGCCTCAGTCCCCAGATCCTCAGCTGAAAGTGAAGGGACAGCACAATTAGGGCTTTTGAAGCCAGGGCCCAAAGCCAATGATTGCAAGCTGCCAAAGGCCTGCCCTAGGCCTGCTTTCCTAGTCTGTTTTCCTTCTCTGTAGACCAGCCAGTAACTGCTGAGTGTTGTGTGCCCAGCATGGAAAATCTATATCAGAGGTCACCAATGGCCTAACAAAGACACAGTTCAATATGTATATTTGGTTACATTTACTAAAAATCAAGAGCATCACAACAGTTGTCCAGATTTCTGTCTTACAGGTCTGAGAAGACTGGGTCCCCATTCTGTGGGCAAGAGCAGCAGGACAGGCCAGGGGCTGCCTCTGTCCTGAGAGCACTTCGAGTTGCTATAGCCCAGTTAGCCTGCTTTGCATTTGCAGACGACCACAACCAAGGCCCTTTGAGTTAGGGTTCTGTTTTGGTGTGCAGACCTTAATGACCTTAAAGAACAAAGAACGTGATTGCCATTTCATAGATGAGGAACAAACTCTGAGAGAAAAAGTAACTTGATGAAGACTTAAATCCAAGCAGCCTGACTCCGGTCAACTCATAGATACTTGACTGTGGTAGAATAAGCCAAACATGAGTTAGGGATTTTAAAATTTATTATTTTTTTGTGGCACTGAGGATGGAATCTAGAGATTTGAGCATGCTAGGTAAGTGCTCTATCTGAGCTATATCCCAAATGTATTAAATTTGAAGTGGTGCCTTTTTTCTGATATTATAGCCTAGAGGTCTTTAAATGCTTTCTGTTGTACTACCATAGTAAACAGAACTTTAAGTGTCATTTGAAATGTCTTTATCTCATACAATAAAAAGCTGGCCAAGCTAGGCTAGACTCCCAAAGCTACAGACCTCTGTGAACCCAAGTCCTGGCTACACAACCTGCCTGTCCCCACATGACAGCAGGTTCATGCTGCTCCTCCTGGTTCAAACCATGCTGCAATCAATCTATCTGCATCTGCATCATCTTATCTTTCAAGAGGTGGCTTTGAATGGAGCCATTCCCAAGCTCTGTCCCTCTAGCAAATCCACAGAGCTTTTGTTCCTGCCTCTTGTTATGTTATTTTATTCTTCTCTGAGTTACAGGCCCCTGCGCCCTATCCACCCTCGCTCCCCATAATGTGGATAAAGAAGAAAATAGTTGCAGGTGCTTAGCCCATCGGTGCTTGAAGGGCCCTTAACCATCTCCACCTCTGACTTGTATTCTGCAGGTAAGGAAAAGTAAAAGGTCTAACCTCAGGCCCCAAAGCCAGTGGCTAGAAGGGTGTGGTGAGGCTCCAGTCTCTGACTCTTCATGCTGGTTCTTTCCACTGCACCAGGCTGCCTCCCAGGCAGAGGATGGCTCAGCACCTCAATTCAGAGGACAGCACTGGGCATGTGACAAACACTTCATAAATATCCATCCATTAGGAGATGCAGAGCATACTGGGGACCCAGATCTCCTTCTGCAAAGGCCCTCAGCTAGTGTCACCTGCACTGAGCACCAGCTGCCCGGCCCTAGGGCCTGGGTGGCCTAGACACAGAAAAAGCCCATGTGGCTCAGAAATGCAGTTCCCGTTGGACAGTTCTAGCCACTGCCCTGCTGAGAAATCTCAGGCAATGAGTTCACCTTTTAGGGTGAGCAATTCTTCATGACAGGTGGAATGCTGAAAGGAGACTAGAAGGAAAGCTCTCAAGACTGCTGGTCTCTCAAGAGGCAGGAGACAGACTTTGTAACAATGTTGAAAAGTCCTACTTCTGCTGAGAGATGGCACATACCTGTAATCCCAACACTCAGGAGGCAGAAGCAGGAGGATCATGACTTCAAGGGTAACCTGAGACCCCGTTTCAAAAACCAAAAATAAAAAAAAGATGCTGTTTCTAGAATCCTAAAAGGACAGAAAAGGCTCTGGTCCACCTGGGACAAATGGATAATTCAACTGGAACAGTGTCGCAGAGTGAGTTTAGATGGTCTTTCAGACTCTGTGGCTGTAAACTGCTGGGGAGAAGTACCCACAGGTCTCTAAAACTGTTCAGAAATGTCCAATCTGGGTAGAATCTTAACATTACTCCCAAACAACACAGGAAAAAAATAACAGCATTAGCTGTCTAAGTTTTCTCGACCCACTAGGTAGGAAGGACCATCTCCCACCCCTTCTCTGCTCCCTCATTAGAACACGTAGCATCCACATGTCTCACAGTTCCTGGCCATCTTTCCAGCCCTGCATGTTGGGGTCTCTTTCTCCCTCTGCTAGCTATGAGCATCTTGAAACTCAGGACTGGCTCCCACTCTTTCTTGTACCCCCATGCATATTGCCTAGAACCTAGCTAGTTGAACCATAACAAACCCTGAACACTGTTCAAAAGAACCAGGAATCCCTCCACCCTAGGCTGGAATAAGGGCACATTTAAACTTTCAGGGCCAATCAGTACATTCAGTCCATTTGAGGGATGGGGACACTGACACTCAGAGGGAAGCTTGCTTACCCAAGGTGACCCAGTCTATGGGAGGGCTCAGAGTAAAAGCAGCCCCTTGACTCCCAAGCCAATGAGCTTCCAGGTCCATACTCTCCAGGTTCTGTAGCAAGCTAGCTGCCAGTCCTGGGCAATATTCTCCACCTCTCTGTTCTGGCTTCCTCATTGCAAAATGGGTAACATGATGTATGGAACCTACATATCAGGATGATCTGAGGAGTAAATAATTGAAAACATGTTAAAATAGCAAACAAAGAAACACTCAAAAAGCACGTTTGTCATGACTGTCATTTAGAACCAGCTATTCTCCTTGAGAAAGGGGAAACTGCTATCCGTGAGCCAAATAGAGCTCATGGCGAGAACTCTGCAGCCCTGACTCACATGCTTTTCAGCTCAGCCCAGCACGTCCTCTGCAGCAGGCACTCAGGGGAGATGCCTGATCTATCCTCACCATCCTTCATAGCTTTCCTGGCTCTGAACCCCATGCCTATGTGCAAATGCACACACATATGTGACACACATGTAACAGCAAGGTATATGTGGGAGGCAGCAGGATCTATGGAAAAGGCAGTGCTTTCAAGCCAGGGAGACCACCACTTCTGCCTGTGCAGCCCTAGGCATGTCCCTAATCTCTCTAAGCCTCAGTCTCCTCACTTCCTAGTAGGTATAATGTGTTACAAGGATCCTCTACAATGCTCTGGCATTCCATAAATGATATGAGGAATAATAATAAATAATTGTCCATTTTTATTTTTAAAAGTCTCCTTGGCAAAATTTTAGAGCCAGAAGGAGCTCTAGGGATCATTAAGCCCAGTCCCCTCGGTATACAGATGGAGAGGAATACACACTGAAGAGGGGCTGACTAGCCCAAGGTCACACAATGAGGTGGCAGTAGAATGGGGTCTGGGACCTGGGTCTTCTGACCTGCTGCTGTCTGTCTTCGCTTGCTTGGCTCTCCTGGCCAGCTCCTCTCCCTCATACAGCAATGGCTGGACTCACTCTTCCCACCTTCTTCCCTCTCACAGTCATGTCTCACACCAGCCAGTGCCACCTGGACCCTGCTTGCCAACATCACCACCCTCCCAAGCACATCTGGTCCCTCTGTTCCTAGTCAGGAGCCCTAGAAGAGCAGATAAAATGCCTGGTAGCCACCAAGAAAGGCAATAATGAATATTAATAATCACAACACCTGTGCAGTGCCCAGCATTTGGAAGTCAACTCACTGTGGTTTCTTTCCAATATAGTTGGTTTGAGAGCATCATTGCCTCAAATTTATTCAATTCAACACTTATTAAGCACCTACTTTATGCCTTGTCATGGGCCAGAGACTGAGGACACAGGGAAGCAGAGCCTGGGTCTCTGCCAGGAGGAGCTCATGGTCTAGCAGAGATTTAGGGTAGGAGGAGGGGGTGGTGCATCATGATTTCTTTTGGCCTAACTGATGCTGCAGCAAAATTCCGACCTCACTTTGTTGGGAAGCTCCATTATGTTGCTGTCAAAAACCAGAAGGTATCTGAAATAAGCTAGTGCAAGGCAGGAATGGTGGTAGGCTGAAATGACAGCCAGAAGGAAGACAGAGTAGGAAATACGGGCACCAAAATTTGACTTTCTTGCCTTAGTCTTGGGGAGACCCCAGGGAGGGCAAGGGATTCGTGTGATATCCACAAGCCTTGCTCCTGTTTCTGCCAGCACTCAAGATTCAGGAGCTTCTGTTCCCTTAGGGTCTCCATCCATGCATGGATACCAGGGTTTTCTAAGCCCATAGCTGGGATATACATGCCTCCTTGCATCCTTTGCTAGAATGATGTCGCAGTTCTTGTGGTGGAAATGTTTGCACCTCCTGGTGCTCCCAGGCTAGCAGCCTGGGGGCCCAAAGCATTCTAGCATTCATTATCACCTAGCAGGGACCATCGCCCACAGGAATGTGGAAGATCTGGTGGGTGAGGGGGAGGGCTCCCCATTCTCCTAGCCTATCTCCAAGTTCTGAGTCCTGGAGAACCTATGGTGTGTCAAGCACAGGCATCATATCATCTCAGGAGCTTCCACACTCATTTCATTTTACCCTTAGAACAACCTTCTGAGGCAGGTACCCTTCTCCCCTGTTTACAGATGAGGAAGTTAAAGCTTAGGGAAGGGAAGTAACTTAGTGCAGGAATGCCGCCATAGAATTGTCTGATGCCTCCAGTGCCAGCTCTACAAGGTCAACATTTCACTTGAGAAGTCCGGAGTTAAGAGAGATTAACCAAGGAGACCCCAATTATTTCATGGTCCTAAACCTAAATTGTTTTAATAGAGGGGCTCCCTGATGTGGGAGCCAAGTTCAAGTGGTATACTGAAATTGTAAAGATCGTTTAGCCCCGCTCTTGCATTTAACTGACAAGCCGACAGACACCCACGCTCTAAAAATTGTAAGATGGCTACTTGGGGCCAGCAAATTAAGGACCAGAACCTCAGTCTCTGGCATGTTCTTCACACCCCTCTGCTTGCAGGGATCAGCTTTTTCTGGGAAGCTCCTCCAGCCCAGCCAAACCCACACCACCAGATGGGCAAAGAAGGCCAAGGAAACAGGCGGCACGTGCCCAGCCCCTCCATCAGTCTCAGGGCTGAGGCGGGGAATATGGGACTTCTCAGGCTGGCAGGTGTTGCAAGCAGCCTTGCTCCCTGCTAGGGAGTGGAAAGAGAAAATAGCATATCCCAGGGAAGCTCTAGGGAGACTGAGGCAGATCTCCCACTCTAGGGATCATGGGAATTTTTTTTTTTTTTTTTTGCCAGATCTACTGCATGGCTCCGATGTTTCTCAGAGGGGAAAATGGGAAAGAAACAGTCATTGGCACTTGACCTTGGGATGGGTGTAGGGTTCCAAAGAGAAGCTTACATGTTTGCTGAAAGCCAGAAGAGAAAGACAAATAAGGAATGGAGAGGATTAGTTCCCTAAAACCCATCTACTTACTATCAAGGAAGACCTTGGGCGTCTTTCCTACAGAAATCAGCATCCTCTAATTAGCAAAATTTACTGCGGGGGGTGGGGCGGGGATGCTCAGGAGGATGTAGGGGAATGGAGGGAGGGGAAGAATGAGTCACGATTAATCCTCTTCAGGGCTGGCGCTCCCGGAGGGGTCGCGCCGCCGTGGGCCGCCCCCGGCAGCCTCGGACCCGCGCAGGCCACCTCCCATTCCGCCACGGCCTCCTCACCTGGGTCCACTCGCCCTCCGCAGTCCCGCCCGCTCGCAAGACTCGCGCGCCGCTTGGCGCAGCGTCTCTGCAGTCGCAGCCGCCGGGCGGTGATCAGCAACCTGCCGCGGTGGGGAAAAGAGAAACACGGACCTGTGAGCTCAGGCGGTCGCGGACTGCAAGCTCGGAGGGCACGCTGCCCGCCGCGGGTTCCGGCAGCTCGGCGCGCGACCCGCGCTCTGCGCCCCCGCACTAGCACTCCAGGGCGCGGCGGGCGCGGCTGGGCGGTGGGCCCGGAGGTCCCCCGGGTCCTTGTCATCACCTGCGGAAGCTTCCATGGCTTTGGCTGCCCCAGGAGCCAAAGGCTGCCCCAGGAGCTGCTCCGGAGCCCCAGCTGGAAGCAGCTAGCCGGATGCAGGCCGGGGCTGGGGCTGCGGGGAGGGAGAGGTGGAGGGCGGGGAAGGAGAGGTGGATGCAGGGGATGAGCCAGTGGCTGCTCGCGGCAGCTGCGTAAGCCGCTGGGCTTCACTTTCCTTCTTAAAGAGACAGTTGGTCTGGCTCCTGAGGGCCCGGGAACCGGAACAACCATACGCTGGCGGGCGGGGCGGGGGGTCCTCTCCCACTTCTAACTAGAGTCGAGCTGGGAGATGGGGCTGGGTGTAAAGGATGTCATCCGGCATCTGGCGATGTGACCCTGGGCAAGTCCCTTCATCCCTCTAGGCCTCAGTGTTCTCATCTGCAACGTGGGGTGATGCCACCAGTCTCACTCTGCCACACTGTCAGCTCACATTAAGTAGTAATATTATCTGGGTGCTTTGGGGGACATTTTTGACCCCCTAAATCAAGTGTGAGTACCAGAGTTATTTAATGTGAACAGCTCTGGCTAAGAAAAATGCTAGTAGGAATCTTAAATATCTGAGGGCAGAAATGCTATCCTTTCAGTATTAAAATGATTAGTTGCCGAGATAAGCAATCTCAACTTACAATGTTCAGTGTAGGTATATATCTTCTCCCCCCACCCCTTGAATGTGGAAAGTACCATCCCATGTCAGGGGCCAGAATTAAATAAAAAGTTAAAAAAAGAGAAAGTTGAGTACCAGCATTCATCTCTCTGCTTCCTGACTGGGGGACACACAGTGACCAGCCTCCTCATGCCGTCTTTCTCTCAAACCACAGGCCAAAACAAATCCACTAGTCCTGCCATGTCTGCATGTTTGACCATTTATGCAGGTGCTGGGCATCCAAACTCAGGTCCTCATGCTTGGAACTTTACTGATGAGCCATTTTTCCAGAACCTCCCCACTCACTTTTGTCTGAATTTTACAGTATTATTAGCAATTGAAAAATAAACCTCTATTTACTGCTTTTTTTTTTTGGTCTTTTTTGAGACAAGGTCTCCCTTCTCCCTGTAGCCCCAGCTGGCTTGGAACTCACTATGTAGACCAGGCTAGCCTTGAACTGACAGAGAGCTGCCTGCCTCTGCCACCTGAGTGCTGGGATTAAAACATGTGCCACCACACCTGGCTCATTTATTACTTTTTTTAGATTATCATCTCCAGTAGAATGTACACATTATAAGGGAAAGTTTTTTCCCCTTGCTATATTCCCATTGCCTAGAACAAAGCCTATCACAGAGTAGGTGCTCAATAAATATTGGTTGTGAGTGAAAGCAAGCACACATTTCCTTTCTAGAAGCACTCAGCTAGATGCCATCCTGAAAGTCCTGTTTGAAGTCTCTTATGTCTACTTGCCAAAGCTGAATTTGTTACTTTCTACTCTCTACCCCTAACCGAATGTTCAAGGAGAATTGTTGTTGTTATTGTTGTTGCTGTTGTTTTGAGACATGGTCTCCCTGTAGCCCCAGCTGGCCTGGAACTCACTTGTGTAATCAGGCTGGCCTCAATCTCATAGAGATTCTCCTGCCTCCGCCTCCCAAGTGGTGGGATTAAAGTTGTGCACTGCCACACCTGGCTTTCCATGAGAATTAAAAAAATATATTTTATTATTTTATGGGTGTTTTGCCTGCATGTGTGTAAGAATACCATGTTTGTGTAGTGCCTGCAGAGGCCAGAAAAGGTGTTGGATCCCCTGGAACTGAAGTTATGCACAGTTGTTAGCTGCCATGTGGGTGCTGGGAACTGAAACCATGTCCTCTGGAAGAACAGCAAGTATTCTTAACTGCTGAGCCATCTCTCCAGCACCCTCCATGAAAAATTTTAAAGTAACTTCACTAACCTATGATTCTGCAAAACTGGCCTGATGTTCTAGAAATAGTTAATATTTGTAATGTATATGAAAAAAGTCATTATTTTAAATTTCCCATTACTTTTCAAAGCAAATCTTTTCCTATAGTTCTTATTTACAGTACGGCTCAGATTTTGTGCAAAAATGCCTATTTTTGTCATTAGTTACATTTTTCTATCTAATTAAATTGAATTTTCCTGTTAATTGGTCATCATTATCTGAAAGAGACATTGTAGCAGGACATTGCGGCTGAAAAGGCCATGAGAAATGTTGAGGCTAATGTCTAAAAAAATCTAATGCTACAGTAGAAGGTTAATTGATGAGATTTTTATCTGCCTTAATGGCTACCTAAATCATACAAGTGACTTTTTTATACTTAAATCAGGAGAAAATTTCTGGGATTGTCATACCCCCCCCCCTTTTTTTTTTTTTTTTTTTTTTTTTTTTTTTTTTTTTTTTTAAAAAAAAGAGGACTACATTTCCCAGAAATCTCCACTAGGAATGTCCCCAAAGCAAGAGAGTGCTTCTACCCACCCACACTGTTCCATCTGGAATGGTGTCAGCCAGTGAAGAATTCTTCTCAGCCTCAGAAAGCAGGTGATTGAAAAGAGTATAAGTGTTTATAATGCAAATTGCAACAAATGAGGATTATAAGCATAAAACAGCTTAAAATTATTTCAAAGAAATCAGTAATTTTGTTTTTACTAATTAGGAAAAATATTTAAATATCTTTCAGTTTCAAAAGCAATTTTCATTGCAGTTCTGGGTAAGCACCCTCTTCCCACTGAAGGCAGCAAGAAAATCTTAACAAATCACAAGGCAGCTATCTGAGGGTTCTGAGGAAGTGTAGCAGGCTGATTGGGAAAGAAGGCAGGTGGGGTGAAGAAGCACAGGGTGGTGGACTTAGCATTGCTTCCTTCCATATCTTCCAACCTGGCCTCAAGATAGAACAAAACCTGAAATTCTGCATCAGCACAGCTGCTCCTAAGCAGTCCCCCTCATTCTGTCTGGAGGTTTAGGAAAGGAGAGAGTGATCAGGGGAAGTAATTTTTCTTTTCTTTTCAAATCTTTTCTCCATTTTTCTCGCAACCCAGTTCCCAGGTCATCCTGCAGTGGTAGCTATGACAGTAGGAAGCCACAGGCGACTGAAACTGAGGGGAGAGAAATTACTCCAACAGAGTATGTGTGGTCCTGAAGGAAGGGAGCACTTGCTGCTTTTCCTCTTTCAGTCCTCCACCCTTTTGGCCCCAGATGCAGATGCAGTTGCAGATGTGTAGGCAGCAGGGAAGAGCAGAGCAAAACAGCTCTGAATTGCAGCTTTCTGATGAATCCCAAATAATGGCCATGATATAAACAATACTTTTCAGTTACTGATAACGCTAAAAACCAAGAAAATGATCTTGAAAAGGCAGAGAAAATGATGTATTGTTTATATAGGAATTTTTCAGGGGGGGGGTCTTTTTGAGATAGGGTCTCCTGGTAGCCCCAGCTTGCCTGGAAACTGCTATGTAGACCAGGCTGGCCTCCATCTCACAGAGATCCACCTGCCTCTGCCTCCCGAGTGCTGTGATTAAAGGCATGTGCTACCATGCTCTGCTAGGAATGTTTTGAATAATTGTGATTTCTTACCATTAACCATGGAGAGCAAAGTAAAACAGAACACATTTAATAAATATTTACTATTTATTAAGAAAGGAATTGTCAACCAGATTCTAATACCTAGAAAAACTATCTTTCAAGAATGAAAGTAAAATAAGAAAAGAAAAAGAAGAACATTGCCAGTGGTCTTGCTTGAAAAGAACTGCTGAGGAAAGGTCTTCAGGCCAGACAGGATGCCAGAAAGATTGACAACATGGTAAATGAGTGAGGAATTTAAAGAATTACTCTTCTAATTATTTCAAATGTTTGAGTTACGATTGTTGAAAGCAACAATTATATCATTGTCTGGTGGATTTTTTTTTGTTTGTTTGTTTGTTTTTTGACAAGGTCTCCCTAGTCCCAGCCCACCTGGAAGTCACCTTGTGGATCAGGGTGGCCTTGATCTCACAGAGATCCACAGCTTCTACCTTCCAAGGGTTGGGATTAAAGGTCTGTGTCACCACACCCAGCACTGGTGGATTGTTTTAAACATACGTTATTGTAATCTAATCTATCTCAATTCATGTTTGCTATATTTCCTAAAGAAAAGTGGCCACTTCTCTCAGTAAAAGGAAACATTTCCTATAGTCATTGTCCTAGTTTGTTTCTCCATTGCTGTGACAAAACACTCTGACCACTACCAACTTGAGGAGGAAAGGGCTTATTTATCTGACATCTCTGGGGTCACAGTTCATCAGGGAGCCCAAGGTAGGAACTCAGGGCAGGAACCTGGAGGCAGGAGCTGGAGCACAGGCCATGGAGGATCGCTGCTTACTGGCTTGTTCCCCTAGCCCCTGCTCAGCCTTTCTTTTTTTTGTTGTTTATTTTAAATTATTTTTATTTATTATTTTCATTTTATGTGTATGAGTGTATTGCCTGCATGTATATGACTGCATCCGTGTCTTGCAATGCCGTGGAGGTCAGAAGAAGGTGTCGGATTCCCCTGGAACTGGAGTTAAGGACAATTCGTAGCTGCCATGTGGGTGCTGGGAATCAAACCTATGTCCTCTGCAAGAGCAGTCAGTGCTCTTAACCGCTGAGCCACCTCTCCAGCCCTCAAAAGCAGGTTTTTTTTTTTTTTTGGTCTTTTTGCGACAGGGTCTCCCTGTAGCCCCAGCTGTCCTGGAACACATTATGTCGACCAGGCTGGCCTTGAACTCACAGAGATCCGTCTGCCTCTGCCTCCCAAGTGCTGGGACTACAGGCGTGTGCCACCACACCTGGCTTCAGCTTGCTTTCTTATCAACACCGGCCCACCTGCCCAGGGGTGGTACCACCCACAGTGGGCTGGGCCCTCCCATATCACTCAACAATCAAGAAGGTGCCCCATGGACATGACCACAGGCCAGTCCAATGAAGGAAATTCCCCAATTGAGGCTCCCTCAACCCAGGTGAGTCAAGTTGACACTAAAACTATCCAGCACAGTCATTAATTTAATAATGAGAATTGAAAAAGATAAAT